ATGTCCATTTCTGCAGATGGTAGTGAACTAGTGCATACCAATATGCAGTTTCACAGCAACTGCAGCTCAACAGGTGCAATTATTTTCTTTTCTGGTGCAACACAGTAATGCATTTGGGCCTCTAATGGGATTTTGCAATGCTGTCAAATATCACCAGTTGAATTTAGGCTTCATTGCACGTGGCCTTGGTTGTATTTAAACTGCATTCCACCAATAAAACATGTTGTATTTGTGTTGAAGATTTATTTGTGTGTTATAATGTAGCATAATGTTGTGTTGTTTACTCAGGCATCCTCAATCATCCATCCATCCATCATGCACACAGCTCGCAGGCAGGCTGACACCGTGGCCTTACCTCCTCCAGCACATTGACTGTGTTCCTGCAGCTCTGCAGTCGGGTGGTGAAGCTGGATGTTGTCGGGGAATTGTAATCCTCTGTTGTCTCCGAGAGAAACTCGGACACCGATATTTGATCCGGCATCCTTTAACGGGGAAAATGCCCACGGGAGGGTTGGCGATGAATGCTCAGAAGGACAAAACCATGTAAGATTCAAAAACAGAGAAAAAGCAGTGGGAGTCTGGTGCGACCGCGAGCCGATGGGAGGACGGGGAGAGCCTGTTTTCCTCGCAAAACTGTGTAAAACTATCGAGATGATTAAGACGTGTCTTCTTCTCCGGTGACTTCTCAAATGACTTCACTGTTCCCCAGGGGCCATGGGAGGAGGGAATTAACTAAATTTCTGCAGGCTGTGTCCCCTCGGTGTGTCTATTCCTTGCGAGGATGTCTAAAAGCGACGCATTTATAAATAGTGTCACTCTGCGTCTAACTAAACCTCGGAGGAAAAACCACCGTAAAGAATAGCGGATGCCCTCATTATGGTCTACAGATGTTCAATAAACCGCTTGTCGTCAAAACAGCCCGCCGTTACCAGCCTCTGTTTAAAATTTATCATAGTCCATGGTCTGCCGAGGTCGTCTCTGACTGCAGCGGGGTTTGGTCCTCTCTCCTTCAGCCGTGGTTTTTGTTTTTTAACGCTAAACGCTGCCGCAGACACATTCACTGCCACTCTCTCCTGCTCGGCCGCGCTCGAGCTTCTCACAGCAACCGTCAAGCCAGCAGGAAGGAACGGCGTGGTTTCCGGTAAAGGGTTTCAAAATAAAATCCCGGAATGACAAGCAAATAATAAATGTTTAAATTTATTTATTAAATCTTTCAGACGTACTAAATTATTTAAAGAATGTTATTTGAATGTCATTGCCACATAGAATAGGCAAATTTACACATACGTCTGCAAAGTCTAATATTTTTGAGTGTTACTGTATTGACACTTTTACAAAACAGCTGACCAATCACACAAAATATTCGGCACCGCTTTATGTTGTGTGGAAGGTTAAAGAAGAGTATCACTTTTTTAAATTATGCATATATTGTAAATTCAGTTAATTAAGTAAATTATATCTATACATAGTGGTCAAATGTTTGCCTTGTTCACATTTGTTGGCCTTGTTTTAGCTGCATGTTAATTTCTCTGTGTGTACACTGAAAAAAAACCGAGTCAAATTCCTTATATTTATACACACATTTTAATTAAAGCTGATCCTGATTCAAATAAGTGTTGTATAATAGTAATGAATCATCGATGAGATTCTATTTGAAGTTGAAAACAAAACACAAGGTCGTGATAAATATCTAAACAGAGCTTCCGGTGATATGAACTCAAATAGTTAACATGATGCACACAAATAGAGCTGTTTTGCGACAAAAAGCGGAACGCTCTTGTCACTTCAGTATTTTAATATATTATTTTGAAAACCACCGTGCCTATTTTCCGGTCATTTCTATCCATTAACGGCACCTTGACGCAGCTTTCTCCCACCCACCTCGCCTGGTTGACGGGGCCGAGGAGTCACTCTGCGCATGCGTGATCTGGATTCTGTGACTGTCGGCCTGCCACAGAAAACAACAATTTACAGAAAATAAGCATACAGGTTTGGTTTGTTTGACTCGAAGCTACAATGAGAGGGATATTTAAAGTCCTTGAGTGTCATTAAAAGAATAGGAGCACACATAATTATTGTCAGTTAAAGCAAGCTGCCTTCAAAAGCAGCACAATTCAGTGTAAAGCCTCTTTTCATCAATGTTAACAGTTGAAAATCGTCACTGAGGCCTTCTAGTTTGTACTGTAATGCAGCAAAACCTTGAGAAATGTTTTAACCTCACCATTTTAAAGTGTTCTATTCCTTAAACCAATGGGTGGAAGTTACTAGGCTGCCTACCAGCTCAGAAAGTGAATCACCATGAGCTGTTACTGGTCATTACATTCATTTTCCTAGGCTATCATGGGCATGGGCTGATAACACTTACACTTGCACTAGTGTCCCCTACTGTCAGATGAGTTCATTTGAATTTAGTTCAACTGTCACTGGGAAAAAATGTGTTTTCTGGAAACTAACTGTTTATATATTATTGTCATATAGGTACCCAAAGACTAATCAATATCTGACATAAATTCAGTTCAAATTAAAATAATTCAAAGCTTTATTATCCTCAAGGGAATCAGATATGTACAGAAAGCCAAAAAAGGAAAACATAGAAAATGTTATACACATGTAATACATGATATGTAATCTTTGTATGATTTAAAAAAAATAAAAATCAAAGATTGGAAGTGTGCTAAAAAGTAATGTACACTACTTCCGTTTTTGACCTTGCAGCTGTGTGTCATAATCTCCTCAAAATTCTTCAACAATGAGCCTTATTCTCAACTCACAGATCACAAATCTGTCTTACCCAGCTAAATTCGTTGAAGTTCATCTCAAACTTATCTCATAAAATCACAGAAAGTGTCTGGTAGCACTCCGTACTAGTTTTTACATATCCATTCTTTAATCTGTTATTATAAAAAATAATCTGAATCAGATTTATAGGCCAAGTAAGTGTGCACACATGCAAGGAATTTAACTCTGGTTTTTGTTGCTGTCAGTGTAGTGCACAGAAATATATACAGACATAACAGCTAAAACGAGGGACAAAAACATATCTGGACAAGGTAAACATAAACATTTTTGCAGACAGTGAGACAATAGTGTAATGGTGCAGAGTGCAAAGGGTGCTGGAATAAATACAGAATTATTAATGTAACAGTTTGTTGCTTTCTATACATAGGTAGTTGGATTTGGGAGTATATACTGTTTGCTTATATTAATATCGACAGTGATGATATTTACAGTGTGTATTAACTGTAAAAATATATAATTTACATGTACAGTGAAGTACAGCGTATGTTTGGTGTTACAGTTATACAATGAATGAACATTTTATTTTCTTCCTGGACATCTAATAACCCATCCATCATGGGATTATTCAGGCACATTAACCAATAACAAACCAAACATTCAGGAATGTTAACCCACCAACATCTAACAGCACAATACATGACTAACATCCAGACATAAACACAAACAATATCTGGCAAAAAAGACATAAATCTCCCACAAATAATCCTTCAAAAGACATCCAACCTCAACAACAACAACAACAACAATAAAAGAAATACAAAGCACAAACACAGCCCCCTGAGTGCAAGACAAAATACACAGATCCAAACAAGACAAAATTTGCATCTACATGAATCAGTGCCAAACATTATTTGATTCAGTTCACAGATCAAGGGTGTCCAAACAAAACAGGGTTAAAGGGGTCCGTCATGTTACTTTTCTCCTCCATTCCCACACCCTAAAAAGATACTCGGAGAATGCAAAAACAAATCAAATCAAAAAGGGATACAGTTAGAGCTTGATCCTCCATAAGGAAAATCAGGAATTTTAACTTTTTTAAACAATATTTGTCATAAATCATGATATAGAAGACAGTACAAAATGAAATAAATTATTTTCCACGTCAATTAGCTCACAATATTCACAAATTCTTTAATCTTTAGTTACACCTTTGTATCTTCCAGTTTCAATATATAGCCTAGTGGTAATACGAGACATCTAAACTGTGCACAGAATGATCGTTGATCTCTAGGCAAGTTATACTTAACATTAATTTCACATTTGTAGTCAAGTATACAGGCAGTATACAAGTGTAAAAGTGTATAAATATATGCAAAACTATGATGTAATACATTTTATTATGCTCCTAATTCATCTCAATCTGAGAAGCCTCTCTAATCTCCATCAGACTAATCCAAATATGGAGCGCCACCTTGTGGTCGTTCATTAACATTATTTTCTGTCAAATGTCTTTTTATGCCATGAATGGGTTTATGGTTCTCAGTTAATTATTAATAACTAATAACTGTTATATCATTAACTTGGTTTATCGTGTTCTGTATGTGTTATGTTAAATAATTAGAATTCGCTTGACATGCAATCACTTCCGGTTTTACTTTGGAAACACTGACCAGAAGTTCCTGTTTTAATTCTTGCTAGCTTAATATAGCGTGTGTTAGCTTTAAGCTTGTGTTGATAAAGTGAGTTGAAGGTGGGAGGGGATTGACTCTGCCTGTTTAGGGAGTTCGCCTCAGTTTTGGCAACCAGAACACAACTGGGAAAGTGGACATTGTCGACGAGTACCTGGACACCCCTGTCATATCTCGCAAAACAGCCTGTTGTCCTCAAACTTGTGTCGTGTGAGAAGCAACATCCAGAGTTCAAACTGAATGGCTGAGGGCTCCTCAGGTAAGTTATCTAACATGCTGTCAAAATATTTTATCAATAGAGTAATTATCGCCAAATTTAAACTCAGCTGCTCTGTAATGCCACACTGCCCCTTTAAAATAGCTTGCTAACGTTATACACACTCTCTTCATGTGCTAATTTAGCTAGCATGTTGCTTAGCTAACGTTAGCTAACATTAATTTTCAGCTAACACCAGCTAACTGACCGAGCAGCTGATTTTTCCATTTATAAGATCCTCGTTCGACTTGCTAAGGGTTGCTAACGGTAGTATTGCATCTTACGTGACAACACGTGACTGTGAACTTTGAAATCCGATATAACACCTGACCTGGGATACAGTAGCAGGAGCTAATAAACATGTGATTAGCCTGTCAGCTCCCAGTATCACGAGTGTGTGGGTGTGCGAAAGTTGTGAAGTTGTGATTGCTAGCTAGCTAACGCGTTACCTAATAGCTGTAGTATAACTGCTGGCTACATATCCTGAGTATGGGTTACAGTACAGGACAGAAAAGTACCAAATGACTTCATACCATAAGTAAATGAATGACATCAGTTTGTTTTTGAGAGTTTTAATGTTGGTGTTATGAAATTATGTAAATTTAAAGACATTATTCTGGGCTACAGACTCAGTAATTGACTAGTGAGTCAGCGGTGAAAACTAATGAGTCATTGTTATTGTCATTTCTTGTGTTGAACATATTTACTGGAGCTGTGTTTGGTTGGGATTATTATACACACAGCTTCAGTCTTTTGACACTTTATCTGTTTGCAGATCCACCTGACCTCCATTCAGATGAGGCGTCACATCAAAAAACCTATCAGCACAAATCCAGAAGAGGCCGCCCCAGACACAACAATGACAGAAACCTGAATAGTTATGATCCTTCTCAACAATATGGACACCTTCACCAGGGCTTCAAACCCCCATTTAGCCATGATAATTCAAATTATGCATTGCATCATCAACCTCCATACCAAGGAGAGGATGGAGCCAGAAGGCGAGGCAGAGGTAGAGGGAGGAGAGAGGGGAATAGAAGTGTAAATGGGAATTTTAGTGGCTTCAGCTCCAGTTGGCAAAGACCAGGAGGCGACTTTGGTCCGTATAATGGCAACAACAGAGGTGCAGGGGGCTTTCACTCTGGGGCACATCCCATGGATGGACCTGATGGACCTAACTGGCGAAGAGAAGATACAGGAAGGAATTTTGAACAAACAAATGAAGACCAGGATGCCCAGGCTAAAAAACCAAGGAAGTTTAGCCAGGAGCAGAGAAGAGGACAACAACCTGAAAAGGGTAGTCGTTTTAAGGAGAACAACGCTGCAGTTGGGGGTCAGAGGTCAGATGACACCAAAGGAGAGAACCCTTCGTTAGACATCAGGGACAGAAGTCAGAGGAGCAGTACTGGTCCAGAC